TAAAATTCAATAATTTAATTCAACGTTTTTAATAAAACAATTATTCCATGCGCGCTTGTTGGATATGAGATGATTATAGCCAACTCGGCGCTACACGCCTCGTTGGTTATCTATCATCTCATCTCCAACGCGTGCTCGTGGAATAATTGTTAATTAATAAATAGAGGTAAAACCCTGTGAGACCTTAGTGCTGCCTCGATCACTGAATGTAACATTTCAGCACTTCTGCAACACTTCTTGTGAATTGACCAGAGCCCTTATGCCACCAGATGTTGGTAGGCAAATTATCAAGCTTTTGGGCTCGGTTTTCATGAGGGTTTCAAATGATCTTGTACAACACTTATTCCTTAACGCCATTCAAAAGATTTGGATGTTTTTCAATATTTTCAAAAACAGTGGCTGCGAGCTAGTAATTATTCTTGTGTTACTACATAAGAATCATTAATAAAAGCCCCTCATTTCATGAATCAAGAATGCATCATGTAAAAGCTGATTTAGAAACACTTTGGACACAGGAATAAAACTTCTGAGGTGAAAGACAACTTGGATGGAAAAAATGCTGTACCTACCCATCATATAAGCATCAACAAATTGTTTTACTTCTCACTCACCTGAAGTAAATTGATGCTGTACACCACAAACCACAAAGCCAAGGCTACAGAAAAGTAGTGTATTAGGACTCCTTGAGCGGTACAAAATTTGGTGGGATTTTTGGAAGACTCTGACAAGAACTTGCTGCTGCAGAAGGCCTTCTCTCCTCCCATTCCATTGCCTATAGCAAGAAGAACAGCTTAAAAAACAGAAGAAGAAATTTATTCATTAATCATTGCAATACTGTTTTGACTGAAAAAGCACCTTGTCTTGAATAAGAGCTCCCTTTCCTCAAACCTTAATTTTATAGCAAACCCTTTTCCATCAATAAGTACGCCTCCTAAATTAATTGTCTGCTTTTCCTTCATATAAACATTGGAAATTTGTGGGTCACACTAGTCTAACTTTGATGTTAATACAGAATGTCTTCATAAATTACATCTGCCAGTTGAATATTGATACTAAAAATTGAGGAAATTAAATGAAGTTTTTTACTCTGACTTAAAAAATTCACCTCAAAGTGAATTTGCTGTTGAAAGGTTTGTGCACTTGACAACTACTAACAACTAATTTGTCCAAATGCTTTCAATAAGTGCTAACAAAATCCTACATTTGCCTGTCAGCCATCTGTTGGCCAACTATTGGTCGACTGTACATGTCAGCCAACTATTGGTCAACTGTCAGCCAACTGTTGGTTGAATGTCAGACAACAGGTTTTTTCGGGGGGGGAGGGGGGGTTGTTCTTAACAATTACCTACAGTATGACAGTTAAAAGGTGTGGGATTAGTCCTTTATCTGCTTAACTATGTAACCAAGCTTGTAAGATATGCATCTAGTATTTCATTAGACACTGGCCAGTTTCCTGTAAACATCTCTTCTCAATAGAGCAGGTATACATCCCCATCTGTGATTTACTCAATGTAGTCTCCATAAGAGCAAAAAAGGGTTAATCAAAAAATACTTACAAATGGCTGCTGCTAGGCCTTGAATGTAAAGAGGAATTATATGTGGAAAACACCTCCTGATAATATGACAAAGAAACAGGTCATTCAAACAAGGTATTTCACAATAATGATACACCTATGAATGCAATTTTACCATTATTAGCGTAAGCATTCTTTACTCTCATGACCTTAATATGTGATTTAAGAGTGATATTGTAAGGAAAAAGTAGATGTTAGTCACTCTTAATAGGAGCCAACAGGTTGCAGAAGGTCACGACCAACCGGTCAATGTAAAAGGAAGATATATCACCTGAAAAGAAAATTACCATTAAAACTAAACTATACAACTATTAAGGAAACATACAATTTCACAAAAAAAGGATTAGGCAACAAAATTGACCTAAAACTCACAGTTTTTTAATCCTGATCCAAGTTGCCAAGATTATCAAAAAACCCAACAAGCTAACAGCAATAGAAAAGTTTTCAACCACTTCCAAGGCAAGTTCTTCTACTTTTGTCAGTATCACCCATGAGCATCGTGGTTCACACAAATGAGTTTTGTGGTTCAGTATGAGTGGATGACTGCAGGGATACAGAGGCCAAGTTTGATTGCTACAGGAAAGAGCAAAATATGATGATAACCTCATTATAGGACCATGTGCATGTATCTTATTTCAAATCCAAATCTGCTTTTGCTCTGTTTGAACTATAAAAATTTGTAAATGGTTGATAGATCTAACATTTGAGCTGTTTAATGTATGCTAGCTATGAAATCCTTCATAAAGCACCATTTTGTATTGGATAGCAGGGAAAGCACCACGATGACAGCTTTCACTTTCCTCTGCTGGAGCTTTGATACAATTTCTTGACCATGTATCACATACAGGCTGAGTTTCATGTTTCACTCTCGTTGCTCTGTTAACCCCTCACATCCTATATACATATTCTCCATACTATTCTCTGTGCATTTTCAAAGTTGCTCACAAGGAGAATTTGTATAACAATCAAGAGCTTCTCTGTGGCCTTAGTGTCTGATTTAGTAGTGATAAGGTGAAGATAAATTATTTGCTTTCACACTTAGGGGTCAACAGGTGCATTTAGTTATCTCAAGGATGCGCCAGTGCTTAAATCAACTCGTTTATTTACAAAACTATATTTCCATAATTCACCTCTTGATAGGTGAGATAGCAATTTATGATTATGGTGCTCCCCTCTGAGGTGGCTTTGTAAGCACGTGCTCATTTCACTTTAAGGACTGTGTGACAATTTACCCAAAAGAAAACCAAGTATATTTGGGCTAAGCTACCACCAAGCTGGTTTTACCCTTGGTAAGATTTCTGCACAGCTCATAATTCATTATGTATACATTCTTGCATAAAGATATTGTTATAGTATAGAGATGTTCTGTATTGACTGTCTGTTTGTTGTGAGCCCGCGTAGTATGCAGCGGTAATGTTACCATGTGCTCTTATCAACATAATCTTCCTGTTGACCCACCATCTTGTGTGTGTGTGTGTATTCTTCTGCAACCCAAAAACATAACAGATATAATAGGGTAAACAATACCCTGCCTTTAGGACAACGACTTTGTTTTAAAATAGTGTGGGACTGAGGGGAAATCTTAACTAGCACTCATTTACCAAGTAACTTGTTGATTGGAGCTTCCATTGGATTACCCATGATTTTTATTCATCAATCAATCAACTGATATAAAAATCATTGACTGATTGAAATGGAAAAACATATACTAGCTAAGTTATCAATGAGATTGATTGACTGCATGAAAATGCAAGGAAAGATTTCTGTATATACTAAAATCCCATGCTATTCTGAACCAAAGTTGTAGTACTAAAGGTAATCCACTGTTTTACCACTGTAATTTAGCCAATACTTATGCAAAATGAAGAATTGGGCTGTGTGGAAATCTTTCCAATGCAATACTGCGCAGAAAATTTAAAGATTAAAAACAAATCCCTTTCAGTTCCCACATATATGTCAGAGCAAGAAATGATAGGCAACATCTCACCTGCTGTTTAGTGGAGGCGGATCCGTCGGAACTGGGATTTTGTTTGCGTAAAATATGGTGGGAAGCAATGAAACGCCCCATATCAAAAGCAAACAAGAGATCGTAACCAGAACCACAAGAAATCGACTTCTTTCTTTGTGCACAAGAGGTCTCTGATCGCCAGAGGACGAGAGTGACGTATCCGTCATGTCCCGTTCGTGGACAATTACTGAACTGGACATTCTACTCGCACAAAGTTCAAGCCAATTCCAAAGCGATCAAGTTCTGAATGAAATGTAATCCACCCATAACATTTTAAGCTTCACAACTGAAAAAAAAATATGGCTAAAATTAAACTTTTCAGTATATGCAGTCAAAGCGAGCTTCTAATGGAGAAAGTTTAGCTGGACAGAGAAACTAGGTAGACTTTCAGTCCGTTAAATTTGCGTCGATTAAGAAGCACAAAGGTCACTTTGTATGCTTTCCCGAGAAGTTTATTTTTTATGTAACATGATCCACAGGAATTCTACTGCACGCATCGTTTATCTCACCTTTTCAAATGGAGACAATTCCCCAAACATCAATACTACAGGGGATCTACCACCTTACAGGAAACCTCATTTTAGTCTCACATACCTCTGATTAGTCTCAAGTACGTCCTAAATCGAAGGATAAACTGAAGGAAGTTACTTGGTTTTCTGAGAATTTTGCACCAATCTGCACGATAAACACATGCTCAACTTCCTTTGATAAGAAGGGGACTGGAAGGCAAGAACTGGTGACATTTCGTTCAACATAAATGATAGCATTATCTGAAAATTTCTTTGGCGCCATATTTGAACGAAGCGAAGTCAGAAGCAAGTTCGGCGCAGCAAACGAAAGATTTCACCGACATTTTGGGTTTTCCAGTGGCACCGAAGGTATCAGAAATATGGTGCAAGAGTTTATGATACTGAAATGTTTTTCCTGTGCGACGTTTCAGGTCCACCAAGTAAGTACATATGACTCTTCACTAATTCACTAGTAGGTTCATTAGACTATCTTTGATTTATAATGGTAATTGAACTGAGTGGAGTGCAATTTGGGCTGAAATCACAAGTATGATTTCAGACCAAAATTGCACGACACGAGGTTTAATATTACCACTTTGTTACATCCATTTTGAAATCGCCCAAATACAGGACTTGGTCAATTCAAATATTTTACTGATGCAGTACTGAGCCGGTTTTTAAATAAAAAGTGGAACCGGAAACGCGTTTACATCTTATTTTGCATGCAAAACAGAAAGACTTTGACATCATGTGTCAAAAACTCAGTCAAGCGTAAAATGATGCAATTTAGAGCAAAAAAATGGTGCAATTTGGGAATAAATCGCACCAATTAGAGCCAATCAGATTACAGGGACCACCAGTGATTTCAAAATGGATGTAATAAAGAGGGTTATCGAAACCATACCCCAATATGTGTGCGATTTTTTTGTTTCTGGAGAACAACATGAATGTAGTTGACACATTTCTCAATCCAAGGGTCTACAGTCTCAAGTCCCTTGTCAGGGTCATTAATGGGGAGGGGAGGTTCTTGGCGAGAAACTTACAGTAACTCTCTAAGTACCTCATGCAACTCAGCTGTATACAGTAAAAATGGTTGCAACAAATTGTCAGGGAGTTGCCTGCGATGAACAATCATCTCAGGGGGAATACCAATATTCCTAGTCACTTCATACCATGAAAAACCTTTAAAGCTTCAACAATTTTACAATGGTACCTTCTAAGCCTTTTCAGAAGTCTTATATGGGTTGTGTAAGTATTATTTTTTGTAACCATTGATAGGTTAAGAAAAGCAAGAAGTGGGTTTGCAAAGTATGCGGAGAAAAGCAATCAATTAAGAATGTTTATGCTCAAGGGACTGGTCTTGATTGCCGTAAGCATGTGCAGAAACTAAATATGAAACAAGGTGAAGTACAAGAAGCAAAAGACTTGGCATGCAACAATGATGATCCTAGTTTTTGTGACTTTATTGAAAATACCCCATTGGCTGGGAATTTTGAGACAAGCCAAGCTTCAAATTGCAACAACCAGGATGGTTTTTCAAAAGGAGGAAGCAAATGGGAGAAGTTCTTAGAGATCAGTTCTACTGATAATGAAGGTAATTGATGATTTATTTCATCATGTAGTCTAATTTCACAGGTGAAGGTAGCCCTAAAATGGATTGTTAAGCCCAAGACTGTCACTCTCACCCAAAAATAATCTATTTCAGGACTTTCCCTACAAGGATGATCAGACTACAAGATATTTAACAATTATTCCATGAGTGCGTGTTGGATATGAGATGATAGATAGCCAACGAGGCATGTAGCGCCAAGTTGGCTATAATCATCTCATATCCAACAAGCGCGAGAGGAATAATTGTTTTATTAAAAACGCCCCCAAGAAATTATTATTTTTTGAGAAGAAACCAGATTTTTTTAGCTCCCTTTTGATTTTAAGCTGACACGTACGCTTACCATATTTGTAGATTATGGTAACTGTTTTATGTACTTCCAGGTTCAAACCTTATACTGGAAGGTTTATCCATTGGACCTTATTTAAATGCTTCAATAGTGGTGTGACTTCAACCAGGGTCATACAACATTTATTCACCAATCACAAGAACGGTTCAAACAACATTAAAAATATCCTAAAAATTTACACTTTTGACACATGCTCTAATTGCTATTTCAAGGTCATTGGTACAAGTATTATGTGTAAAATGTATTTTTGTTCTCTTCAAATTGTTGAGGAGATGGTGATAAACTCAGATGTTCAATATGCAATGCTTTGAGTGTGGATAGTGAAATTTATGAAATCTATATTTTTTTTCTGAATGCCAACCAATGTGTTGTTCTACTTTTTTTTTCCTCTTTTTCTATTTTTTTATGTTAAGGTTTAGAGGATTTGGATGATAATAATATAACAACTGAAAGGGCTTTTTTCGATAAAGCACTTTCACGAAGAAAGAGAAAGTCATCATGGCTTCATTCTGATTGCAAAACAGGAACTAGTTTTCGGGGAAAAGGATTGAAAAAAAATGCAAGGGGAGATTGTGTCAGTAGATGCTCTGGGTTAAAAGCCTCTCTGCCAAATACTCCTTTACAGGAGTTGACATCAAAACAAGTTGATGAATTTCAGTCCTTTGGTAAACAAGCACAAGCCCATGAGGATTTGGAGTCAAACACCCAAAATAATCCATACAAGTGTAACATTTATTTTGCCAAGGCTACCAGAGATCCCTCGCCAGTGAAGAAAAAGATGAACTCTAGTTTTTTGGTTGAGCACGAAAGGAGAGCAGTATGTTCATCGAAGTGGAATAGGTTCATGTCAAGTTCCTCGTCACAAACTGACTTGCATGAAACTTGCACAAAAAATAACCCTTTTTCCTTGGAGCCCTACAGAAATAATTGTCAAGAAGACAGTGAAATCCATCATAGCCAGGGTAGTAGTTTTATGAAATCTGCCACAGATATAAATGCAGCAGATGATCAGTGTTGTTCTCAGTTTGTTCAGAATTTGTTTAAAGTGGATGATGAGTTAGATGACCACTGGTGGAACTCATTGTAACTTAAAAGAAAGAAATTGAAAAGTTTTAACCTTGCTTTGCCACAAATTTTTAATGCAAGTCTTTGATGTCAGAATGGTATGCTTATCGTAATTATTAGATGATTTAGGAAGAACGTTGGCTCAATCCCTTATGTACATTTGAAAATTCACACAATCTTAACAATAAGTGTTACATTCAGAGGAAAGATGTGGAGAGGGGGGGGGGGGAAACCTGACCCTGTAGGCTTTTTTGCCACTTATCCAACATTAAAATTCTTGCACCCACAGAATGACATGTTACAATGTAAAAATAAAGTTTTCTAAATTTACTTGTCTTGAAATATTTTAAAGCTTGTTTGGGTTATANAATAGATTAGAAATTGCAATAACTTAAAATTAACATTAAAATTTAAGTTTGTACAATAAAATTCAGAGTCACTTAAATACAGGTATAAAATGGTGAAACAATAATTCAAATAACTTAAAATTAACATTAAAATTAAGTTTGTACAATGAAATTCAGAGTCTCTTAAATACAGGTATAAAATGGTGAAGCAGCTAATAGCTTCTTAAAAAGGTTGATATTATTGGCCAGTTTCACACTTGTAGGTAATCCATTCCACAGCTGCACACACATGTAAGTGAAAGATTTTTTCATAAAATTTAAATTAAATTTAGGTGCGCACAAATTTATGCCAGTACCTCTCAGATTGTACATAGTTTCCCTAAAACTAAAAAATTTTCTGATATACTTGAGACCATCATTATGAAAACATTTATATAACAGAATAAGGGATTGTTGTTTCCTTCTCCGGTCTAACGTTTCCATATTCTAGATTTGCAACAATTCATGTTGTGTGACAAGACCAAATAACAGCTGAAAAGGAGACTAGGATAATATTAGCAGTTAAGTAAGTTACTTGCTTGGTCATTTTTTGAGGTTAAAAATGACTGTCTTAATTCTCTAAAAACAACATTAAATTTTGGTCAGTATTTTGAAGGTATAAGGTCCCCAATAATTTCTACAGCTAAGAATAATTTAGGAGCTCATTTCAAAGTTATGCACCAGGCTCAGAAATCTAAAAATGTTTGATTTTTGATTGTGCATCCTTACCCATGTCAATTACAGGCTTTTGCAAATTTCTTTTCATGTTCTTAATGACTTAGTGACTTTGATTCATTATGCAATTTCCTCAAACTGATCAATCCAGCTAGGCCAGTCGTGAAATATTGCCCCATCATGTTAAAAATATGGGGCTGTTGAACGGAAAGAAAAACAGCATTTAGAATTATAAGAAATTCAAAGTCCACTTATGTAAAATTGGCACATCGATATCAGCACGAGTACACTGGGTACTAGACGTATATCCGGGAGATTTACTTTAGTCAACCATCATGGCGGCTATGTTGAGAGGTTGTTGCTTGTTAGAGAGTGTGCCATTCTTGGTGAGTAAATTTGACAAAGATCTGCCAGAATTGTTGTTTGTTACAGAAATATCGTATTTTCTTCGTTTTTGACACATGACAGGCCCGAAATCTGAGTGTCTCGTCTGCCCGATGTGCTGAGCTAGCCGCTAAGGTGAATACATACAACACATATATTTATGGAAGCTCCCTTTACAAGGCTTTTCAGCCACAATGTATTAAAAATTACAAGATAAGACAAAGGAATGAAATGTAATAACTAATGAAATTAACTACAAGGGAAATAGAGATAAATCAATTTTTCGTTAAAAGCATATTTACAAGTCTCTTCTTAAAAGTACCAGAGTTCACATGTTCGTACATACATACATACATAGTTTATTTGGTAACACAGGTCAGTTACTGGCAACATTAAGATGTGGACCTGCGATTACGTACACGTTTACTAGCTTCTGTTGGTTCTGAGAAATTCTTGACACCACACTGGGTATCAATAACTTGGAATTAAACGGTGATCTGTTCACATGATTTGTGGTTGAATCAATATTTACGGCAGTATAATTTTACTTGACCTCACACGTACGGTTAAGATTCAGGCTGATTTAGATGAAGAAATGTGAAACTTTTCTGTGGTTTGCATTTGTTTTAAATCTTTAACATTAAGACTAAAAATAATCATAGGTGAGTGAAGTGCATCCATGGGATTCTTGTTTTCTCAAGATAAGCAAGTAATTTTGCTCTGTGAGAAGGATCAATTTCTATCACTTTGTGTCTAATCAAACATGAAAGTGATCCTATGGGTGGTTTGCAACCAATCTCTAGAGACACAGGCAACAATGGTGAAAGGAACAAGAGCTGGTGGACGAACAAAAGAAGCTAACGAGATATCTATTGTTTACACCCCACCAACATGGCGGCGATGACGTAACGTGCGAACCACCTATTGTAGGGGAATACATAACCTGTCATTCAGAAAAGTCAAAATGATTTGGCAATAGATGTAAAATTTAATTGCTTGTTGAAACTTAAGCGATCTGTACTCATGAAAAACTTGATGAAATTTGAAGTGTCTCCATGAGGGTCAATGATCACATGAGATTGAGGCCAAAAGTCACAGTAAGTCTAAGATAGCACCCAAACTCTGAAATCACCAGTAATGCAAAATGACTTTTAAAAGATTTTGACTTAGAGAACTGATTGTTAATTAAGGGACTCAATCTTGATGTATTCTCCCCAATGAAAAACAAGCCTGAATTTTGAAATAACAATATATTTGAAATAACCCACAAAATGTCTCTACCCCTATCACAAACCAAGAGAGTTCAATGTGTTTTGTTTCTCTTACAGCCTCCTATACAGGTGTTTGGCGTTGAAGGCCGCTATGCACATGCCTTGTATTCTGCTGCAGCTAAGCAAAAGCACTTGGAGAAGGTTGAGAGTGAATTACTGAATGTTGACGAGCTTATAAGGACAAATGAAAAACTCTCAGAGTATCTTGAAAATCCAACTTTGAACAAGTACAAGAAACAATGTAAGGGTTTATGTGCTAAACTGCATTGACAGTATTCATACTGTCAGTCTTTGCAAAAATTAAACACGATTTGTTCTTTTTAGCAAAGAGCTCACAATATTTGTGTCTCTTTGAATATGACAAAGTGTTTTTAGGGATTTGAAAGGTCTTTGTTTTGTAGTTGGGCCTGCCCTTTTCTACAAAAGGAAGACCCCATCATTTGTTTGTCTCTTTACATCTGACAAAGTGTTTCATCAAAGGTCTTTGTTTTCTAGTCTGACCCAGCCTTTTCTATAAAACAAAGACCCCTTTGATTTTGTTTGTGTTAGCTTTTTCTAAAGGGGTTAAGAAGACTTGGTGTCTTTTGAATACAAAGAAAGCTATTTAGTGTGCCTTCTCATTTTGTAGTTTAACCAGGCTTTTCCTAGTAAACAAAGACTCCACTGATTTAGCATTTTTTGGACTGTGACAGTTTTAATTTATTACAAGCCATTCTTGCCTTTTTAGTTTGTAATGAATTGGTAAGTTTTTAAGAAGGTCTTAGGTTTTTAGTCTTAGGTCATTGTTTTACAGACACTCTTTGCACACATACTCACTTGTTGCTTAACAAAAAGAAAGAGCATGTAATCCAAATCAATTTCACCACTGTTAAAACTTTGAGGGGTGACTTTGACAGTGTGTAGAATCTCCTCAGTTTTGATGTTTAGAAGTATTCTTCTAGTTTAAAGAAGCTGTAGAGGATTGTCATTTTCATTGATGTGCAATGTTTAGTCTGTATTTGATTTTAGCTCTGACTTTCCTTTTTTAGCACTTCTTACTGATGTGTTGAAATCACAGAAATATACTGATCTTACAGTCAACCTGATGGGTGAGTTTTTTGTTTTGAAATTGCTTATCCTTTAATTTTATCCTATTAATTGAATTTGCTTTACTTGTTGCTGTTAGATCTCTCATGTTTGCATATAGCATGAAACCACAAATCATAATGTGTATGGTTTAGCTTGAAAAATGCTATTGATATTGAGGGATAGGCAAGTGAGTGTTTGTGGTTTAAGCATACACATTAGTAAATCCAATATCACCCTTGTTTTGGGTTTCTGTCCACAGCAATATTGGCAGAAAACAATCGCCTTCCTTTAGTCCACAATGTAGTTTCTGCATTTGGAAAACTTATGAGTGCAGCCAGAGGTGAAGTGTTGTGTTCCATAACAACTGCCAAGGTTTGTTTCAGTTCCTCTGATTGAAGTACATTTTGTTACCTGCTATATCATTGTAAGGGATACCTTATCACCCATGAGTGTGTTTTTCAGTTCAAGAATGTACATGTATCAGTATCTTATTGCTATGTACTTTTACATAGTCTTTTGCCCCATATCCATACAAGACTATTTCTCTTTCATCTTGTACTTTCAGTACGCAAATTAGAAAAATGTGAAGACTTCAACTTTTTTTACAATTTCAGTGCTAGATTAATATTGTGTATAGAGTTGAAGTAAGGTGAACCTGAAGATTTACACCAAATGAACTCCTGTCCTCAATCAGTTTCTCATGTTCTATTATCACAACAATTTAGTTTTTATATTTAGTGTAACTCAGAACCCAGTCTTGTGTCTGATTTGTAGTTGATCATTGCAGTGGTTATTTCATATTCTGAAATTAATTTTGTTTACATACAAATTTAAAGGTGTATTGCATGTTGATAATTATTAAATCCATGATCAGGTTAGTATCCCTTCTTCTATGTATGAAGTGCCATTATGAATGTTAGTGCAATCAGTATACCCATAGCAGGGGTTTCATAAAGGGCCGGGCACCGGCCAAACTGACCAGTTGTAAGGACGGTTTTGCCCACCTGGTCTAACAATCTGGAGGGAGGTTTATTTTATAAAGAAGTTTAGTTGAAAAAGTTTTGCCCGCCTGTGAAAACCAGTTGCCCTCTGTTATGTTTTTGGGGTTTCAGAAGAGTGTACACACACAAGATGGCAAATCAACAGCAAGATTAATATTGATAAGAGCACATGGTAACATTACCGCTGCATACTACACAGGCTCGCAACAAACGGACAGTCAATACAGAACATCTCCATACTATAACACCTCCCCCTGGAGATTTGTTAAGAAAAACTCTCTCATAAGCAAAATAAACAAATACTCAGTACTAACAAGTCTCCATTTGAGTGTCCCTAGAACTAAGTATTCTGTGAGTTCATCAGCTAAGTAACGATCGTTCAGTACCAACAACAACAGGTGTTCATTAATAATGTTCAGTTCACATCTCCTCAATCAATCTCTGGGGATGTCTGTGAGAACATGATGATCGATGCAGCATAAGACTTGTGGAGGCAGGAGTTGTCTCCGATTGAGCTGAATTATCAGGTGGAAGTGAACTTGTTTCAGGTGAGCTAACAGGTTTGGGTTCTGGAACAATTGGGGTTGCCGTCTCCAAGGATGGTACACCAGATTCAGCTGTTGTAGAGTGGGAGTTGTTCTGCAAGACGTCATCCACATGTCGCCTCCAAACTCACCCATCATCAAGGTGAACTTGGCAAGAGTGTGAAGAGGGGCATTGTACCACGGTTCCAGGTTGCCACTTTTGCCCTGACAAGTGGTCGCGTGCAAGGACTGTGTCGCCAACAGCAATTTCTCGGAATTTAGCATGCTTGTCATAGTGCATCTTCATCTTTACTTGCTGGTGGGAAACATGAGTGGCGAGGTCCGGTCTCACTAGAGAGAGACGTGTGCGCAATTCTCTTTGTAGAAACAGTATGGCTGGGGACGAGCCAGTTGTGGCATGCTGGGTGCTTCTGTAAGACAAAAGGAAGTTCTGAATTCTCTGCTGCAGTGTGCAGGATGGATCAGATGCTGAGGATTCTAGAGAGCACGTGAAAGTTTGCACAAACCGCTCAGCTAGACCATTTGAAGATGGATGATAAGGGGAAACCAACATCTTCTGGATGCCATTTTGTCTCAAGAATCCCTCGTACTTGGCAGACTGAAAAGGTGGGCCGTTGTCACTAACGATTTGCTTTGGAAGGCCGTATCTTGCAAAAATGTTGCGCATCGCATTGGCTGTTGCTTCAGCGGTGGTGGTTTTCATGGGACCAATCACTTCTGGCCACTTTGAGTGAGCATCAACCATAATGAGATAGTGGTTGGACTGGTGGGTGGCAAAGTCTACATGGATGCGCTCCCAAGGAGCTGTAGGCCACGACCAAGGGGAAAGTGGTGTTGCTTGTGGCGCCCTTCTGGTTTGGAAACACTGCTTGCACCCACGTGCTCTCTCCTCGATGTTGCTGTCTATCCCACGCCACCATACATGACTGCGGGCAGCTGCCTTCATGCGTGCGACTCCTGGGTGCGCCTTGTGTAGCTCACTTAAAATCTGCTCCTGTAAGGAGGGAGGTATGACGGTTCGCAGGCCCCATATCAGACAGCCTTGCTCGACAGATAGCTCATCCTTGTGGAGGAAGAATGGCTTGAGCTCAGGAGTGAAGTTTATTTTGAAAAAGGCAGGCCAACCATTTTGGGTCATCGCGAGAGCCTTAGCTAGGACTGGATTTCTAGCAGTTTGGCGTGRAATTTCTAAGACAGAAACAGGGTGTTTGCGTAATTGCACTGCCCAGACCTGGAAGATTTTGTCCTTGACACTGGCATCCTTCCTGTACTGCAGGGGTAGTCTGGACAGGGCATCAGAGCTGGCTACTTCAGCAGAAGGCTTGAATTCAATTTCCTACTGGTAGGACAAGAGGAGCAGGGACCAACACTGAAGACGTGCTGCTGCCAAGACAGGTGTGGCAGAGTCTGGTGCAAAGATCTTTAGCAAAGGTTTGTGATCAGTTCGAAGTGTGAACTTGCGCCCAAATAGGTACATGTAGTACTTGGTCACGCCGAAAATGATGGCTAGGCCCTCCTTCTCTATTTGACTGTAATTCTTCTCAGATGAATTTAAGGACCTTGAGGCATATGTGATTGGTCTCGTCTCCGTTGGGGAAACGGTGAAGTATGACAGCCCCTATACCATATTGGCTT